GGCCTGTCCCATGTCATCCACTTGGCCCTAACCTCTTGTTCAGAAAGGTCTCTCTTCCTTCTTCTACCCCACCCCTTCCCCTGGCCCCTGCAGATCCCCCATTCCTCTAGGACAGTGGTTCTCAACCTGTGGGTCGCTACCCCTTTGGCGGTCAAACGACCCTTTCACAGGGGTCGCCTAAGACCATCCTGCATATCAGATATTTACATTACGATTCATCACAGTAGCAACATTACAGTTATGAAGTAGCAACAAAAATAATTTTATGGTTGGGTCACACCATGAGGAACTGTATTTAAAGGGCCAGAAGGTTGAGAACCACTGCTCTAGGGCAATGGGAATCTATACCCATTCTTGTATTCTCAGCATCCTTTCCCCCTGCTCCCCTGGCCAAGGGAACCCTGGCTGTCCGGGGTGGCCTCACACTCCCAGCCCCTGCCCTTGGCCTCACCTCCCACTGCCAGGGCCCCTCCTGCCCCAAAGACATCCTTCTTCCAGAGCTTCCTCACGTTTGAAATCCAGGTCACCCTCCCTCCTTCCTGTCCTTCTTTTTTTTCTTTAAAAATTCTGTATTGACTGATATTTTAATTTATAAAAATGTCTCAAGAGAATAGCAAGCTAAAGCGGTGACACCTTTCTACCTGGTCTCACCTTCCCAGGAGATGCTGGCTGCATTGTTTAGGCTCTTGGCAGCCACGTGGCGATCTCACTGATGCTGCACTTTCTAAATCAGAGCTCTTAACTGAAAACAGACAAACCGACCCCGGCTAGTTTAGGCTGAAAAATAATTTACTATGAGGATTCTGGCCCTGGCTGGGTAGGTCAGGTAGTTGGAGCATTGTACACAGAAAGGTTACGGGTTCGATTCCCAGCTGGGGTGTATACGGGAGGCAGCCCATCAATGTTTCTTTCTATGTCTCTCTCTCTCAAAAAAAAAAATCAGTAAAAACATATCCTCAGCTGAGGATTTAAACAAAAATAATTCTGTAGCTCAGAGCATCTGTAGGAGGGACAGAGAAGCAGCCAGGAACAATGTCCCAAGGGTTACAGCCAAGCTGGCCTAGTGGAGGCACCTCTGAGCACAAACACCCCCGTGTGCCCACACCATGGACCCAGGCCCTGGGTGGTGCCACGGGGCCTCAGCCTCCTCAGCCTCTGGAAGCGGGATAAAGCTGTCACCTCTCCGCAGGGTGGATTCCTCTGGGGGCCTGTTTCAGATTCAGTCTTGCATGAGGGCATCTGACTGGCAGAATGCCTGTAGCCCAGCTGCAAGGGAGGCTGGGAAGGCCTCATTTGGCTTCTGTGACAGGGAGCAAGATTCATAAGATGGAGATGCCCCAGATGTAGGCAATGCTCAGCAACCAGGAAGAATGGCAGGTGCCCCCTTCAGTTCTCTCGGAGTCAGTCCAGCCACCTGCATTTCAGCTGCTCCTGTTCGACCTCTGCACTCTCCCACCTCTGAGTCCTCTGGCTACAGGCTTACCTGTCGTCCTTCGGGTCCTCAGAAACCACCCCCTCCTCACAGGGCTTCCTGCTGCGCTCACACCAGGGATCCCAGCTAGAGGGCACCACCTCCTCTGTCTGCTGACAATGACCTCGGCCAGGGCACCACCACCTCGGGAAGAGCTGATGTTTACTGTGCACACACTGTGTGTTTCACGAGTTGTCATCTCATTCGACCCTCAGACCCACCCCACCCCACCCCCTGCCAGAAGGAATGCCTAATTAATATCCCCATTTACAGAAGAGGACACGGGAGACCACAGAGATGAGCGTCTCCTGGGTTTGCCCTCTCCGTCACTCACAGTGGTCTCTTGAGAGCAGGGTGGGTGTCACGTTCCTTCCCTGTGTTCCCAGGGAGCTAAAGGCTGCATGTGATTCTCAGGGGCCCAGGAGTCACGTCCTCTGAGACGCCTGCAGAACAGCACTTCTCAAGCCTGACCGATCACAAGATGGATCTGGGATGCTTGTTAGAAGGAATCTAGATTCCCGATTCTCTCATGGAGCATCAGTTCTTAAGATCTCAGGCATCTGAGACTTTTGACAGCTCCTCCAGTGACTCTTGTGATCCTGCCAATCGAGAAATACTGCTCCAGACAGCTGTTCCTTAGGGGCACACTGGGCCTATAAGTGGTGGGCTGCGCTCTGTAGAAATCAGAACCTGAGAGCTGAAAAATGTGCTTTGAAGGACCATAAATCAGGCGGTCACCTGCTGTCAGACAGTGCAGCACGGAAACCTTTAAAATGTGTTTCCAGAAATTCTCCTTCTAGAAATTCATCCCAAGGGAATGGTTACGGTTGTGTGCAAAGCAATCCTGTGCCAAAGACGGAGAAAGGATGCCCAGGTCTGCCTGTGCAATTAGCAAGAAGCGGTCCTGCGGGCACACAGCTGTGAGGCAGGACTCCGTCCTTTCCCTTCCCCCTGACCTGTCCAGGCCAGTGACCCCATGGAGATGACACGGATTCCATCCTCTGCCTGGGCCCTTTTGCTCACACAGGCCCTGCATTTGCCTATGCAAAGCCCCAAAGAGAGGGAGGGTGTGGCCCAGGTGAAGGCAGTATGGACTGGGAAGGCCTCCTGCTGACTTGGACTTGCTGACTCTGGTCCCCTAGGACAGTGGTCGGCAAACTGCGGCTCGTGAGCCACATGCGGCTCTTTGGCCCCTTGAGTGTGGCTCTTCCACAAAATACCACGTGCAGGCGTGCAAGTACAGTTCGATTGAAACTTCGTGGCCCATGTGCAGAAGTCGGGCTGTGTCCCATGACGCCAGGCCCGGGCTGTGTCTTCGTTGTTGTTCTCTTAGTTTTTCCCACTGCACCAAATGGGCTCCCTGTTAGCCATCTCAGTGCCCTTTTGCCTGCAGGTCCCAGGATTACCTGGTCTTCCTCTCTGAAGGCTGTGGCCAGCGCCAACCCTGGTGCTCTCTCTCCAGTGCCCTCAGCATCATGGCCTCCAGAGATGCAAGCAGATGGCCTTCCTTTCTCCTTTGTGCCAACAGCCAGGATCGTCCCCAAATAATAAAGACAGGAAAGTTACAGTGCCCCAGAAATGTCTTACATTCATGATCGTGGTCTGTGTTTCCTCCTTCCTTGGTTTAAACAGAACTAGACACCAGGCTCCAGCCCGACTTTTTACCCCAACACTTCTCAGAAGTCAAAGTTCTAAAATTCACGCAGGTAACAGCGCACCTGGAAGTCATGGGCTCCTTTGGGGGGCTCGCAAGTTCCGATGCATATAAGTCCATCACAGGAAAGTTGGGTCAGGACCCAATCCTCGATGAGGTACAGGATGGCTCAGTTGTTTGCACACAGGCTCTGGGCTGGGAAAACTTGGGGTTGAATCCCATGTTCAACACTCAACTTCTCAGCCTCTCAGGGCTGTGGACTGAAATGTGTCCCCACAAAATTCATACGTTGGCGCCCTGACCCCCAATGTGACTGCGTTTGGAGATAGGGCCTTTAGGAACATCCTTGAGGATAAGCGAGGTGATGGGGATGAGGCGTGATTCAATAGGACTGCTGTCCTTATAAGAAGAAATGACACCAGAGATGCCTCTTGCATGCTCAGAGGAAAGGCAAGAAATTGTCTGCCAGCCAGGAAGAGCTCTCGCCAGAAACCAACCCTGATGACTTTGATCTTGGACTTCCAGCCTCCAGAACAGAAAATATTTTAACCTACAAGTCTGTAGTATTTTGTGATGGCAGCCCGAGCTGACTCAGACACCGAGTTTCCTCATCTGAAAAGCAGGAATAAAACGAGTCATTGCATCAGGAAGCTGAGGAAATACACATGTAATGCCTGCCTGTTTAGTTTTCTTCAGCACCTGGAACAGTGTCTGGCATAGTGGATGTTCAATAAATACCCACTGAATGAACAAACACATCCATCAGAAAAGGAAGCTGTCACATTAAATTAGGAGTGCATATCCCTGAGCTTTTCACTAACCTCCGTTTCCTGGATCACTGATCTCCAGCAAATGACAGCAGGAATAAAGGGTTTAAGGAAGGTGTCTGTGCCTGACAGGTATGGCTCAGTAGTGGCAGGTCAACCCATGAACCAGGAGGGCACAGTTCCATTCCTGGTCAGGACACATGCCCAGGGTTGTACATTCCCCAGTCGGGACCATCCAGGAGGCAGCCGATGGATGATTCTTCCTCATCATTGCTGTTTCTATCCCTTTCTCCATCTCCCTTCCTCTCTCTGAAATTAATTACAAAAAAACAAGAACATTAAAATGTTGACGGCTGGGGAAAGTGTCTGCAAGGACAGTTTCCTGTTTTTAATTGGATCTGCCCACAATGTCATGTCTTCTGTGAATTGGGAAAGGGCTTGGTCTGGCTGATCTCAGGGCAGTTTGAGCCTCTTCCAGGAGGAGGGAAATGCATCGGAGAGCTGTAGGACGCCTTAGAACCCTGGCCTAACTTTCCAGGCCTGGGCATGGAGGGGAGAGCTTTTTCTCTCTCTTTTTAAAAGACTTTTGGAAGAGAGAGCTCGTCCTCCTGTGGGGCAGAGGGGCTGGAGACCACAGCTGGGGGAGGCCATGTCGGGGAGCTGGGGCTGGGCCCTGGGAGTGGCAGGGGTGAAGCTGGTCTGGGGTTGGAAGCCACAGCAGGCCCACCTTCCAGGAGCTTATGAGATGCAAATGATGCAACAATAGGGCCCCTGTCCCCAGGACATCTGTGCCAGAGACTGGGCTTCCGGGAAGCATAGCTCCTTCACCTTGGCCATGGTGAGACTTGGTTGGGGGCAGCCCCAGGTGCACAGACCTGCCCACCCCTGGGGGCCCAGGACTCTGGGGAGGGAGAGGCGTCCAGCTGCACTGACCACCCCCTTACCCCCTCTTTTCAGGACAAGCTCAGGGAGAGTAAGCGCCGGTGAGTACTCAGCTCCTCGCTTTCCTTCGCTCCTCTTTTGTCTCCACCTCGCCACCCCTTTCCCGGGCACAGCCATCTTGGAGCTGTGCTGGCTATGCCTGAGCCCTCCCCACCCACCTGGTCAGACCATTCCTGTACCTCCACCACCCTGTGAGCAGGAGGGCTCACCCACTCCTGGCTTCCCTTGGGCACCAACTCATCCAGCTACGTACCCAGGGCACTAGCTCTGCCCCCAGATTCTAACCCCTGCTGCCCTGCCCCAAGCTGCCGTCACACAACTCCAGGGGCTCCATCCACTGTCATGGGGGTGAATGTCTTCGAGTTGTGTAGTGTCTGGCTGATGAAAACTCAAGGGCCCCTTGGGCAGAGTTGACTATAGTCCGATTGCAGGTTGAAGCCACCCCTTTCACCCCTCAAATGTGCAGGTAAGTGACACAGTGGGCAAAAAGGGCTCAGCAGGACAGGGTCCCTTGGGATTTGAGTCTCCCTGAGTGGCCTCTCCCCCACTTGTGGCCGTCACAGTCCAGCACCGCTAAGGCACCAGGGCCCGGCCTCCCCGCCTCCTGGTCAGGATCAGGAGGCCTTGAGTTGGGGGACTGGCCCAGGGGCAACAGGCAGCTCGCTGGGAGGCGCCCTTGTTTCCAAAATGCCTCTGTGGTGGCCCTGCTGCACTGTGAAAAGGCCCCCCTGAATGGGCCTTTGAGCTGAGTGGAGCACTGAGGCCCACTGTGGAACTGCAGGTGGCTTATTATATCAGGGAGAGAGAGGAGGTCATTGTGCTGGAATGGGGGTGGGCTGGGGGAGATGCCGCCCTCTCATCAGTCTCCTGTCCAGACTCTCCGACTTGGAGAACAGATGTCCCTCTGCCTGCCCCAGGGACCTGGAGTCCCAGGGTAAGTCCAGCTGCTGAGCCTGGGGTTGGGGTGGGGGTGGCAGGGGCCACCACTCCTCTGCTCTTCTTCCATCCGCCCTGTTCTCAGCACCCCGTCCCAAAGGCCCAGGAGGAGGAGGAGGATAGCTATGAGCTGCCTCCCTGTGAGGCTCTGCCTGTGAATCTAGCCCCTGCCCGCCTTCCTGGCACTGTGGAGGAATCTTTGTACCTGGGTGAGGCCTGGGAAGTGGAGGCAGAAAGTACGGGGTCTGGGCAGGACAGGAGGAGGGTGCCCACAAGGGGAGAAGGCGCAGGCCTGGCCTCTTCCTCATCTGTGTTGGGCTGTGAGAGGAGGCCTCAGCTGGCTGGGGAGAGGGAGAGGGAGAGGAGGAAAAGGAAAGGGAGGGGGAGAGGGAGAGGAAGAGGGACAGGGGGGAGAAGGAAGGGGAGGGGAGGGGGGAGGGAGGGGGAGGAGGAGAGGGCAGTGTAACCAAGGCAACAATGGGAAAGCAGGAGGCCTAAGGCCTGACTTGGTCCCTGGGGCCTGGCGTTCCCCGTTCTGAGATACCAGCAATCTCAGAGCAAGGGCAGGGGCGCCAGGAGAACCCCCTGTCATCCCACCCACACGCCTCTCCAGGCTGGGCCGGATGGGGGCAGGGAAGCTGGCCACCTTCAGTTGCCATGGAGACGGGCTGTCGGGAAAGCATGGAGCTGGGAGGGAGGAGGAAATAGAGTCCAGGTGGGGAGGGAGGAAAATGGGAACCTACATGGGAGAAGCCTAGAGATTCAATGCTGGGTGTCTTTTCCAGATCATTCTGGCCTCCTGGGCCCGTCCAAGTCTCCGCCGCCACAGCAGCTCCAGCCCCAGCCCGCGATGGTGAACAGCCTCCCCAAGTC